ATCATTCCAGGAAGTAAAACCCCTAAGGGAAGGATCTATAGGATGGCTCCGGCCGAGTTGGATGAACTTGGCGACAACTGAAAGAGCTGACAGAGAAGAGATGGATCCGGCCAAGTACTTCCCCCTACAAATCTCCAGTGCTATTCGTACCAAAGAAGGGGGGTACATTGAGGATGTGCATTGATTATAGAGGCCTCAATGCCATCACAGTGAAAAACGCAGAGCCTCTACCTCACATAGACGACCTATTGGATAGGGTGCAGGGATGTAAGTACTATAGTAAGATAACTTTAAAATCCGGCTACCATCAGATCGCTATAAGACCTGAGGACCAACACAAGACTGCATTTCAGACCAGATACGGTCTGTATGAGTTTGTTGTGATGCCCTTTGGCATTTGTAATGCGCCGGGTATATTCCAGCACGCCATGAATAGGATCTTCCATGACCACTTAGATAAGTTTGTCGTAGTCTACCTCGACGATATTCTTATCTTTAGTAAGTCTGCCGAGGAGCATGCACAACACGTTGAGACTGTACTTTCACTCCTGCGACAGCACAAGTATAAGGTCAACTTAGAGAAGTGTGAGTTCGGACGTACTAAGATCTTATACTTGGGTCATGAAGTATCCGCGGAAGGTATTAGGCCGGAAGATGCGAAGGTGGCTAGTATTCGAGACTGGCCACGACCTCAAACTGTCACTGAGGTCAAATTTTTCTTATGAATGTGGGGCTACTATAAAAATTTCGTAAAAAACTATTCCACAGTCGCCTCTCCTTTGACAGATCTAACTTGACTTGACACGCCGTGGGACTGGAGTGATGAGTGCGAGGGTGCTTTCAAACGACTGAAGCATGCACTCATGAATCATGAGGTACTCATGGTGCCCGATCCTCATAAGTCGTTCATAGTGACCACTGACCCAAGCCACTACGGCATTGGCGCAGTGTTGGCTCAACAGGATGGGAAGAAGTTGAGACCGATTGAGTACATGAGCAAGAAGATGCCATCGAAGAAATTGGCAAAGTCCACCTATGAAAGGGAACTCTATGCTCTCTACAAGGCACTTGTCCATTGGAGACATTTTCTGTTGGGACGGTTCTTCTATTTGAGAACTGACCATCAGACGCTCAAATGGATCAAGACTCAACCGGCTCTTTCTGATGCACTCAAGCGATGGATTGAGGTCATAGATCAGTATGAGTCCTAGGGACCAAAATACTGAGGCATTAGTTTTTTAGAGATACCGAACTCCTGTCCTAGTTCACTAGCCTTGACCCATACACGTTCCCCTACCTGAAATGAGGACTGTAGACGATGTTTGTTCTCAGAAGCAATCATTGCTTACTGAGCTTTCTTGATGTGCTCGACAGCTTGCTGTAGCAACTTTTGATACTGCACACCATACTCAAGTGTGCCTGGAGTTGCAGAGGATCGGTTTTCAGGTAGGAGGAAGTCTAGAGCTGATCTAGGCTTCCATCCCAAGTGCAGCTGATTAGGACTAACGCCGGTACTGCTGTGTACAACATTGTTATACAGGCTGGCGATGAGAGGCAACTTCTCATCCCAATCATCTTGACTGGGCTTGATGTAATGCCTCAGCAAGTGTTGTACAACTCTGTTCATCTGCTCGGCCTGTCCGTTGGCTTCGGGATGATTCCCTGAAGTCATCTGAAGTTGACTGCCCATCTGCTCCACAGTCTTCTTCCACAGCTCACTTGTGAATTGGACATGTCTGTCGCTAACGATTGACTTTGGAAGTCCAAAATCACCCACCTTGTTGTCCATAAACAACTTGATGACGTGGTCAGTCCTTGCGGTCTCTGGCATGGCAACCAGTCTAGCGTACTTGGTGAATCGATCGATGATGACGAAGATGTGCCTCTTGCCACTCTTACAGGTCACCAGGGTGTCCATGAAATCCATGGAAACACTCTGTCCTGGACCAGCGGGGATAGGTAAGGGCTTCAGTAACCCAAGCGGTGTTTGAGTTCGCGGCTTGTCCCGCTGACAGACTTGACAGGTCTCTACATACTTCTTTGCGTCATCTAGCATTCCAGGCGACCAAAATCGTTGTACTAGATTTGCACTCAATCTTTTTGTAGCCAAAGTGTCCGGTTGCGTCATGACATTCTCCTAGAAATAAACTACACAAACGTTCACTAAATGGAACGACTAACCTTTTAACTCCGGCCTTATCAAGATAGAGAAGCCCGTCCACCATCACAAACTCACTTTCCGTGGCCTTGTCTTTTGCCTGAAGTTTGCGCATGATGTCCATCGTGACAGGGTCTTCCTGATAGGCTCCCACCAACGATTGAGTTACTTCTTCAGATACACCAAAATCAGAAACTAACGCCCGGAAGTCCTGGATATAATGGGGGATGAGATGGATGGTCCCACATATGTTATCCGTATCCCTGGACACCTACACACTCACCCTGTCTTTCATGCCTCAAAGCTTGCACCTTTCGCTGAGACTGATCAATTCACTTCAAGGAGATCGATGCTGCCCCCAACCATGGATGGCCAAGTGGACATCGACGACATTGTGGATCATAGGGACATGCCTGTTCCAAAGCCGCTGGGTCGAGGAAGACCTCCTAAACCCAAGAGAGAGTATTAGGTCAGATTCATGCATCATACGGATCCAAAAGAAGATCGGTGGTTTACCAGAGAGGAACTAATTGAGACAGCTCCTCAAGTGGTGGTAGAATATGAAAGAATGCTGAAAGGGAAGACACCTGCGAAGTAAGCATCTCAACGGACTTTCGAAGCTAAGGGGGATGGAATGTGAGGATTGAGCACTCAAAGGGGCCTTGCCGACATGCATATGTTCTGGGCATAGGCCCCCAGCAAGCCTCGTGCCCGCCCTAAGTGAAGGCGGGCCAGACCTGTGACCTCCCTAAGTGAAGGCTGGTCAGAATATCCACAAACATGCCTTTCTTTCAACATATTTGTAAAGTGGGTATCCGACAGTTGCAGCACGCCAGTTGGTTGGAGTGCATCGTGGAACCCAGACTCCTGCGAGAAGCAGTTGAGCCCAGGGCCTCAGTTGGTTGAGCCCTGGGCACAGGCTAGGGAAGGCCGACACATCACACATTGGACGCTGGCCAATCAGAAAGCAGTATTGCCGTAGTAGAGGTCGAGCGAACCAATGGGAAACCGAGAAGGGTCTGCATATGGACGACAACCCTGGCATAAGGGGCGCTACTGTACTTCCTAGGCCACATCTGTGGTGGGCCTGGGCGCAGCTACTGGGACACTGGTGCAGACTCAAGGCGCCAGCCAACAAAAAGAGGCCTGCCCTGGTTCATTTTTGCCTAGGAGGTTCTCGTGGTCCAAACCAGTAGTCGCTCGGGGAGTGTCGCTTGTACGAAAACTAGGTGGATGGTGGACGGAAGGGCCTGCATGGGCCAGGTTGAGCTCATTCTTGATGAACCATTGCTGTACTAAAGCGATAGCTGGGCAACTTTTTTATTTTCTTTGTCTTCTTTTTTTTCTTTTCTTTTTTTTTATAACTATGAGTCTATGACCTCATTTTTTACTCAAATAGTGTTTAGCCTTGGAAATACCGACCCCGTACCAGGCTCCTACATCTCACGAATCGAGTTGCTAAGGAAATCTCCTTCCGACTGCAAGGTGTGGTGGGGGGGGCAGGGGGGGGTTCCATTGGCACAGATTAAGCCACAGGAAATTAACGACGAGAATCTCTCAATCCATGCAAGCGGGACCTTGCCGCGGGCGTGAACCGAAAATAATCTCCTTCCGGCTGCAAGGGGGGGGGGGGGGGGGAGGGGGGTCCCATTGGCACCGATTAAGCCACAGGAGATTAATGACGAACATCTCTCAATCCATGCAAGCGGGACCTTGCCGCGGGCGTGGACCGAAAATAATGATGATTTTCCGAATGCAACACACTCTCCCATTGTCTGCGGACGTTCGTGATGGCGAGCGTACGCTGTGTTCCCAGGCCGGGAAGACAGCAATCGAGGACGAGTGAGTGCATATTGTGTTCCGGGGTAGACGGTGATCTCGAGCAGGTCGTTTCGCAAAGGTTGTTTCGTCGGATTCTGTCAATGACACATAGAGCTTTCTTAGCGCTCGGAAGTGCGATGGCCTGTTATTGTGTGTTGATACCCCCGAACCGCAGTGGACCTGAGCCGCGTTCTTCCCTTGCGGATTATTGCCCAGCACAGAAAATCTGAACTGACTTGGTGCCAATTTGCCTGGTGCTGCCTGGCGCTGCCGAAACTTTGAGGAACCTAGCCTAGATCTCGCTCAGAGTACTGTTCTGACATGTCTCACTCATAACAGATCGACAGATATAAAAAAAAAAAAAAAAAAAGGAAGTAGTCCTCTTTTATCTTTTTATTTTATTTTATCTGTTTATTAGGGCCGGGAGGAAAGTATTGTTGGGTTGGTTTCCTACCGGCGTTTTCCCTCCCACCCACCCCTTTGCCTGCATTCCTGGTTTGGTTCACAGTGCCACGTCAGCAGTGCCACGTTAGCAACAGTGCCACGTAAGCAGTGCCACGTCAGCAACAGTGCCACGTCAGCCATAGTGCCACGTCAGCAGTACCACGTCAATAGTGCCACGTCAGCCACAGTGCCACGTCAGCAACATGTCGAGCCCATCTCTGGGCATGCCAGGCCAACTAGCCAACGAGTCTCTTGCCGACTACAAACAGAGGTTCCAGACTCAGCTCGCATTGATCGAGGCTGAGGAACAGCGCCAGCTGGCAGTCGAGGCGGCCCGCCTACAGGCTGAAGCAGCGGCAATAGCTGAGAAGCAGCGGCTACAGGCCAAAGCAGACGCAGATACCCAGACACGCGGCAAGGAGGCCCAGGATTTGCTGCAGCGGCATGAAGCCACCAGCATCGAAAGGCTCAAGTATTGGCATTTTGAACCATCTGAAGGGCAAGACGACGCGACACTGGAAGAGCAGCACAAGGAATTCATGGCCAAACTTGTGACTCGCACCAAGACCGGCAGCTGGCGAGTCCAGCAGCGCACCCTCTGCCCGCCAACTGGAGGAGCGCGTCGATCACGTAGTGGCAATGCTAGGTGATATCAGCACCTTCGCAGCGCCAGCCACCATCAGCCAGCAGCTGGACACACTGAAGGCCGAGATCAGGCAGCGACAACAGCCGTCTGACCCCGATCGCAGCACCAGCACGGCAAAGCATGATTACACACATCAGGACCCGATCGTCTGGTGGCAAGGATTCACAACAGAGTTGGGGATTCATGAGGTCCCCGAACATCTGTTCATCGGCGCGCTGTTCCTTAACGCCAAGGGAGGATGCCAAATTTGGCTCAGCCATATGGCAACCGTCCACGGCGTCCAGGTCTTTGACCTACACAAGAAGGTCTCCTGGGAAGATCTGACAAAAGGAATGGAAGAAGCGGTTCATCGTTGACGACGCCCCGGTGCTCGCCATCAACCGCATCTTCACAATGGCTCAAGGAAACACAGCGACACGTGATTGGCTCACGGGTGCAAAAATTATATTGGGGGTCGGACTCTCACTTTCGGTGGTTGCAATTAATTTCGGGGCGTGAATGATGACCTGGGAGTGAAAACCCACCGCTAAAGGGTCCAAAAATCGTATTGGGAGTCGGATTTTAACTTTGGGGGGTTAAAATTATTTTCGGGGTGTGAATGATGACCAGGGGTTAAAACCCACCGCTAAAGGGGTGCAAAAGTTATATTGGGGGTCGAACTCTCTTTTGGGAGGTTGAAATTAATTTCGGGGTGTGAATGATGACCTGGGGGTTAAGACCCATCGCTAAAGGGTGCAAAACTTATAATGGGGGTCGGACTCTCACTTTGGAGTGGTGAAATTTATTTCTGGGTGTGAATGATGACCTGGGGGTTAGGACACATCGTTTAAGGGGTGCAAAAATTATATCTGGGGTCGGACTCTAACTTTGAGGGGTTGCAATTAATTTCGGGGTTTGAATGATGACCTGAGAGTTAAAATTCACCGCTAAAGGGTTCCAAAAGTCGTATTGGGAGTCAGACTCTAAATTTCGGGGTTAAAACCCACCGCTATAGGGGTCCAAAAATCGTATTGGGAGTTTGACTCTCCGCTAAAGGGGTCAACAAATTATATTGAGGGTCGGACTCTCACTTGAAGGGGGGGTGAAATTAATTTCGGGGTTTGAATGATGACTTGGGGGTTAGAACGCGCCGCTGAAGGGGTGCAAAAATTATATTGGGGGTCAGACTCTCACTTTGGGGGGTTGCAATTAATTTTCGGGAGTAAATGATGACCTGGGGGTTAGAACATACCCCTAAAGGGGTGCAAAAAATATATGGGGGGTCGGATTCTAAATTTGGGGGGGGTGCAATTAATTTCGGGGTGTGTATGATAAGCTGAGGGTTAAAACCCACCGCTATAGAGGTCCAAAAATCGTATTGGGAGTCGGACTCTCCACTAAAGGGGTCAAAAAATTATATTGGGGGTTGGACTCTCACTTTGGGGGGTTGCAATTAATTTCGAGGTATGAATGATGACCTGGGGGTTAGAACCCACCGCTAGAGGGGTCCAAAACTTATATTGGGGGTCGAAATATCTTTTTAGGGGGTTGTAATTAATTTCGGGGTGCGAAGAATGACCTGGGGGTTAGGACCGTCCGCTTTAGGGATCCAAAAATCATATTGGGGGTCAGATTCTCACTTTGGGGGATTGAAATCGATTTCGGGGTGCGAATGATGAGTTGGGGGTTATGAGCCACCGCTAAAGGGGTGCAAAAATTATATTGGGGGTCGGACTCGCACTTTGGGGGGTTGCAATTAATTTCGGGGTGTCAATGATGACCTGGGGGTTAGGACACACCGCTAAAGGGGTGCATAAATTATATCGGGGGTCGGATTCTAACTTTGGGGGGTTGCAATTTATTTCGGGGTGTGAATGAGGGGTCCAAAAATCGTATTGGAAGTCGGACTCTCTGCTAAATGAGTCAAAAAATTATATTGGGGGTCAGACTCTCACTTTGGGGGGTTGAAATAAATTTCGGTGTGCGAAGAATGACCTGGGGGCTAGGACCGTCCGCTTAGGGGTCCAAAAATCATATTGGGGGTCGGATTCTCACTTTAGGGGATTGAAATTAATTTCGGGGTGTGAATGATGACCGGGGGGCTAGGACCCACCGCTAAAGGGATGCAAAAATTATACTGGGGGGCGGACTCTCACTTTGGGGGGTTGCAATTAATTTCGGGGTGTGAATGATGACCTGGGGGTTAGAACCCACCGCTAGAGGGGTACAAAACTTATATTGGGGGTAAAACTCTCTTTTTGGGGGGTTGAAATTAATTTCGGGGTGTCAATGATGACCTGGGGTTAGGACACACCGCTAAAGGGGTGAAAAAATTATATTGGGGGTCGGACTCTAACTTTTAGGGGTTGCAATTAGTTTCGGGGTGTGAATGATGACCTAGGGGTTAAAACCCACCGCTATAGGGGTTCAAAAATCGTATTGGGAGTCGGACTCTCCGCTAAATGGGTCACAAAAATTATATTGGAGGTCGGACTCTCACTTTGGGGGGGGGGGGTGAAATTAATTTCGGGGTGTGAATCGCCTTTAAGACGGCTTAGATCGATTTGGGGTCTGAACGATCATTTTGGGGGGGGGGGTGACACACCGCTTTAAAGGTTCTGTAATTTTTTGGGGGGTCGGACTCCCCTTTAAGGCGGCTTAAGTCGATTTGGGGTCTGAACCATTATTTGGGGGTCAGAGTGTGACGTAAAAGGGGTAGAAAATTGTTCTGCGGGTACGCACTGTTAGTTGGGGGTGTGAATCGCCTCTGTAAGGATACAAAAATTATTAGGGGAGTCCGAGTGCGAATAAGGAGGGGTATAATTTAATTTTGTTGTCCCGAACGATGTAGGGGGGGGGACGACCCCCCGGTCACATGCTACCGCTATCGTCACATCGTCGACCAGCCTGACACCGTGTATCAGCCTCTGATCTGCCCCCAGTGCGTTGATAAAGTCTACCTCGTACTTTGCGCACAATATACAGGCTAGTGAGGAGCTAGAGTTTTCCCCCATAGGGATACCCACTACCTGCTTGAGAATCTTCTTCGTACATACGATGTACGTATTCTCCAGCTCATAGCTAACCATCCGCCGGATCTGAGAAAACTTAACCGTGACATAGCCAGGTCCTGGGCTCTTCCGGTTGAGGATTACTACACGGCCCCGTCTACTGAGGCTCATCTTGAACACCCCTCTCGCTTCCCACTGTTGCAGCAGCCAATCGGTGACCCGGACAATCTCTTGGTGCGGGAGTGACGTAAACATCTCTTTGATGTCAAAGCTGTTTACCAGGGCCATTGAATTCTCACCGAAAATACTCAATTCCTTCTCCGTCTTCTTCAGGTTTTGTTTCAACAGTGTCGTAACCTTCAGGTTGAAGTGTTTGGCTTTTGGAACTCTCTTAAGTAGGAAGTTCAGGGCCCGCGCTAGCCTCCTCCCCGCTGTCTTGGATCCTTCTGCATTAGCTGGTGCAATAGGCCTCCACCTGAGCAAGTCCTTATGCTTTGGGAGGACATACACTTGCCCAAGCTTCGCCTTTGGATTCCAGGCCCCTAGCTTCTGGAGGTCCCGATCTTTGAACTCCGTCCTTACTCGAGCGAGTACTTCTTTTTCGGACACCCCCGAAACTTGCTGGTAGGCAACGTTGAGGTTGAACATCAGCTGGAGGTCGTGGTGGTATGTAGACGGACACATGATTACTACGTCACCTTGGTTCCTGTCCACCGGGACCACCACTAGGTGGCTTAGCTTTGCTGCTAATTGCCACGCCTGCTTTCCGAACATGTCGGTCTTTCCTCTGCACGTTCCGATACAATCTCCCATAAATGCATCAGCTCCGCTAGCTGATACAGATCCCTCCTCATGACAGCCTCCAAGGATCGCCCTACCGCCTTTTGCACGTCCGTTGGTCTTGTGCTGTATCACTCTGTAGGGCATTCTTCCCGTTGTTCAGGAACAGGGTCGCTGCCGAACAATCTACAATACGGGCTAACACATGTCCTTCCATTTCTTGGCAAATGGTCCTGGCTACATGTACACAGCGTCGTAACTTCTCTCGCTGCCTTCCGATGGTTGGCCAGGACCTGCTCAACTGTAGTATTATTTTTCCACACAATTCTCACCATGCGTCGCAACACCGTTTTTAGCACCGGATGAATTCTACTTTTCTCTACACATAGCACCACCGTATCATGAATCTTCCTCTTCCTTAACCGGTGGCTATACTTCACCCTCGCGTTAATCTTCAGCTTGATGTTCACTCCCGTTTTCTTCTTGATCACTGCGGCTATCATTTCCTTCAGGGTTCTCCTCGAGGTCTTTGTCTTGAATTCCCTAGCACAACGGTAAAGGAAGACCAGTTTCGAGACATCAAAGTATTTAAGCTCAGCTCGTTTCCTTGGCAGCTCCAGCAGCAGCCTAAGGTAGCCCTTGCCCCTGCACCATGCGCTCTCAGTCTTCACGATTGGTGCGACCCTGAACATCCCTCCTTCCTCCAATAGCAGCTTAGACCTCCCTAGGGGGAGTTTCGCTTTCTCACCTGCGACCGTTGACGTCCCGAGTTTCCTTCGGACAACGGACCACTTCTCTCCCCACACCTCTCCTCCGGATGACTCGAACTTCACCATTCTCTTCCCTGCTGCATAGGCATCTTCTAGGAGCTCAGCTAAGTTGTAGTGCCGCTTCCCTTGCCCTGCTAGTGAGAAGGACAACAGTCCACTTCTACCGCTTGGTATAGGCACTTTCCCCTTCTGCCTCTCTCTCTTACCAGGCCTCGCCTTCTGCTTCGTCCCTCCGTAACGACCAACCACATTGAGTGCCGGGGAGAACCTGTGTATCAGCGTCTTCTCCAGTACCTGCAGACCGTCTCTAATCCCCGCTGCTAGCGGGAGGACTAGGTACTTCTGCCATCTGAACACCTTCAAAAAGGTGTACAACTTGGGGGCATGCTCGTTGTTGCCTGATTCTGTACACGGGATGTGTTCCCACCACCTTTCACCTGCACCACGAACTGTCTTTTCCATGTACAACCTCGTGCACCACGGTGACACTAGGCAGTACACCGCCGGCCCCCTAAGATCAAAGAAGTCATGCTCTGTCGGGGTTACCGTGAGCAACTTCTTAGCCCACGGGGCTACCCCACTCATCACCAGCATGAGGAAAATCGCAATAAGCACCTGCTCAATGCTGATCCTAAAGTTCGTTAACCCATACGTCCCCCAGATGTAATTGCAGAGCTCCATATAATTTAGGAGCTTGTTCCACAAATACCGCACTGGGGGGGCACACCGTCAATCAACGTGTGGTCTTACAATTATTATGTCTATTTTTTACTAAACTTAAAAATAGAACATGTTTTTTATATTGTGCCCATGTAGATCTAATACGTATCCACTCCCCACCTCCTGTCTTCTTTCTTGCTTTCGTCACTTTCTGCCCCCGCAAGCCACCCGTCGTATGCAACTCTCGTCTCTGCTGCCACCAGGTCCTTGATCGCATGCCCCTTTGATACCCACCTGATGTTCCTCCTTTTGCACATTTGCTTGAGTTCCGGTGCCTGCTTTGCTTGCATACTCTCACGCAGTTCGAGAACAAACTCAATTACTCCCGGCTTGGAGCACGGGGCTACAACACCTTATCTTCTTCTCCTCCACAACCATCGGCTCCTTGGCCTTCCTTGCCACCACTGTCCTCTTCTTGGTGACTGGTGTGGCGGCACTCCTCCCTTCAATGTCTGCGTCCCGCTCCTAGTCATCCAGATCCAGTCTCCTCCTCGTGCTTGGATATGCATCAACTCTGGGTCTCTTCGGCACCTCACCGTCTACTCGTTCCAAGAATCTTAGTAGGTTGTCATGCAATTTTGCACTCTTTTCTTCAGATGTTGTGAGTGTTGACTGCACATGACCTTTGATCTTCTCCTCCAATGCTGCCATCTGCTTGGCAAAAGCCTGCGCTGCCGTAGCTTCCATGATAGCTTGCCGTTTCTATGCTTCCTCTCTCTGCTTTGCTTCTTCTAACCTCTGTCTCTCTTCTTCCTGCCGCTTCTTCCCCTGTTCAACTCTCTTCTTCTCCGCGGCTTCTAGCTGCTGGTTCTCGACAAAGGCTAGTAGCTTGTTCATCAGGCCATCCTCTTCGCTTCTCCTAGGCTGCCCGTAAGCACCCTGTCCATAGTTACCTTGCCCATAGCTCCCCCTTCCCTGGCCTTGCCAGTTCTTCCCGTTCTGCTTATACGGGCAATCTCGCGCAAAGTGCCCGTATTCCCCACAGCTATAACACCACCCTACTAGCGCAGCTGGAGGGGAGGAGGAAGAGGGGGAGGGGGAGGAGGAGGAGTAGGGGCTGGCGTATGGACAGATCCTGCATAGTCAGTAGGGTACATCCCGGCTGTCCCCTATGGAGGATACATGATTCCCCAACCACTCGCTCCTGCAGCCGTACGTCTTGCTTCCAAAGACACCTGTTGGGCGCGATCACCTACAGTTATCGCTCAGCCGAAATCGCTCACAAACAGCCGCCTTACTCAGTCGACCTGCTCATGAACCTGACTGTCGTTCTCCGTTCTCCTTTCTATAACTTCCTCTCCCTGCGCACAGGCGCGTTATGCAAAAAGCAGCCAGTCCCAGCCTGTCAGTCTCGTGCCCAGCTCGTCTCGCCTTGTTCGACGCCCTCACGTTTGGGCCAACCCTCTGGTTACGGTTCGTCTAACTGTCACCGTTCCCACACTAACCCAGCGCGACTCTTGATCACAAAATGCAACACACCCCCACGATTTTTTGCACGGTTGGCCTTCGTGCTCGTGGCACCGACCTTCGATTTCGTTAGTTACCTTCCCTGCAGGATGACCGCCGGCCTTCCGAGCTCGTCATTCAGCACTGATCAGCTCGTAACCACTCACCTCCTCATAGCTGACTGACACGGTGTGTATGTGCCAACCCCTGTTCTCATCTAACTCAACCGGTGCACACCGATCACCCCGACTCAAACCGTTACCCGGCTACTTCCCGTCAAGGTTGCAGACTACCCACCACTCATACCTCGTTAGTATAGCGTGCTCCCAACTGACCCTCGTAACCCGTCACGAATCTCCACTCCCCCGCCTAGCGACCCATGCTCAGCACGCTTCCGAGTTGCTCATAGCTCCGATCGCAAAGTTATGAAGAACCCGTCTCCCAGCCACCCTCGACTCATCCACCGTCGCGCGCTCAACTACCTTACTCTGCGCGCTCGTCTTCCCACAGGTAAGATGACCCCTTCTACCCGTGGTCCCTACCCCACTCTCTGTCGTTCTCGTCCACTGCACGTGCCCCGTCTCTGGTTAAAGCCCAGACAACTCATTACCTCACAGCACCCCTGGTTCAATTCATGGGTACCGACAGCTCAGCTTTTTCACCGCTCGACTCACCTCACATCGTGTGCTCCGAGCTACTTCTACCAACTAGCCAAGGAGGTCGGTTCTCCTCAACCGTGGTACCTTCCCAGGACTGTGCTGCAGCAGGTAAGACTAGAAGGCAGCACCAGCCACGGGCATAAATTCGCTCGTTGCCAGCTACGTTCGCCCCCTGCCTTCGCTCCTCCGACCCACTCTCTTCCCGTCTCCTCCACTCTCACTCCAACTCCATCACCTCACACGTTGCTCCGCTAACGCACTGTTCTTTGACACGAACTTCCTTCGCACAATGCCCGCCACGCTCGCCCCCTGTCTTCACGCCTCCAAACCACTCACTTCTCGCCTTCTCCACTCTCACTAATTCCTTCTCCACTCGTAGGAGGACGGCTCTCCCTAACCGTGGTACCTTCCCGAAACCGGGCGGCAGCAGGTATTCACGCGGACCAAGAATACTGCGAAGTATATCTCCCCCTCCACTCACAGAAGGTTGAACCTCCCTGAACGTGGTACCTTCCCGAAGCAGAGCGACAACAGGTATTTGCGTGTACCAAGACTTCTGCGATGAGCGACTGGAACCTCGTACAAGGCTCCGCTATCGCACCGTTCATCAGTACGTAGTTCCTTCGCACATTGCCCGCCACTTTCGCCACCGGTCCTCACCTCTCTGACCCGCTCTCTTCTCGCCTCTTCCGCTCTCACTCCAACCCCTTCTCCTCGCACGTCGCTCCTCTATCTCACCGTTCTTCAACCCGTGCTTCCTTCGCACACCGCCCGCCACGCTCACCGACTGTCTCCACTCTTCCAACCCGCTTCCTTCTCGCCTCCTCCACTCTCCCTCCAACTCCTTCCTCACTCGTAGCTGCCGATCCTCGTTTACAGTTCCGAAACCCTCTGCCCTTCGCCCCGTGCTGACTCCGCACGTAGCCTGACCTTCGCACTTCGCTCCCGACGACCTGTGCCTTACTCCACTTGTAACCTTCGCCCCTCACACGTTACCCCACTATGGATGCACACTCTACACACAAAAAAACCTTGCGCTCATCGCTACCGAACACCAACCTTCTCGTTGTTCCAGTATCCTATCGTCATCCGACACCTGCTCCCTACACTTACCTCCTGTCCTCCGCTCATCACTTTCTATCACCTACCTCTCCCCGCTCGTAGCTCCCGACATTCGCTCGTTGCTCCGCATACACTCATCACTGGCGTCCAGACAGCTCCCGTTGCTCCCGATCACATACCTCATGCAATTCCGTAGTGGGCGTAACCACCAACACGAGTACGACCGCTCGTATGGTTGTCGCGCATTCAAGAATTGAAACAGCGAGGCCAATCGCTATGCGTCCATGCATTCCTGATCAGCATTGAAGCACCTACACGGACATCGAGCTCAAACGCGCACATTCCCCGACGCGTTTCGCCTGGCTGCGCACCAGGACTCATCAAGGGGCTACCACTCTCCCGCATCCACCAAACATACCGCCCAGAGCAAAGAGGGCCAGAAGAAGAAGAAGAAAACAACCGAAAAAAAAAACAAAAAAAAAACGCTGGAGACGGTGGAGATTGACCGTCTAGAATCCATCGGTAATCCCATGTGTTTGATAATCCATTCAATGGATTGATTGATGGATGGATGGATGGATGGATGAACCATTCAATGGATGGATGGATGGATGGATGAACCATTCAATGGATGGATGGATGGATGGATGAACCATTCAATGGATGGATGGATGGATGGATGGATGGATGGATTGATTGATTGATTGATTGATTGATTGGGGTTGATGAACTGATTCTCGAAACAGGAGAGGAGCGACAAACCCTCGCGAATGTCAACCGAAAATGATTACAATGATGATGATGCGCAAGTTGAAACAGTGGGACGGGGAGAATACTGGGAACGATGAAGCGGGCAGAAGAGTGAACAGTGGAGATGAAGTGAGAGGGAAGAAGAGGACAAACCGATGCCTCATAGACGCAGTGTATCAAGCGTTCATTCACCTGCTCATGCCACAAACGATGCACATAGTACTCATTCATTCCTTCATTCATTCACTTGTTCATGGACAATTACCTGAAATTATCAAGGGACGGAATATCTATTGATTGGTTGAGTGATGAAATGGATTGATCGATTGATTGATTGTATTGACTGACCTGACTAACTAATTGCTTGACAGTTTGATTGATCGACAGTTTGATTGATTGATTGATTGATTGACTGACTGAATTAGGTGATTGGTTGGTTGATTGACCGATGGGTTGATTGATCATCCGATTGAACTGAGCAAATGATCGAGTTATTGATCTGATTAATTGATTGACGGATGGATGGATTGGCAGCTTGCTTGATTGGTTGATTTCTTGTCTGTGGACTGGTTGATCGATTTAGTGGCTCGTTCATTACTCGGACTGATTGACCGATTTTTTACTGGTCAAATTAAGTGATGGATTGACTGGGTGATTGATTGATTGATTGATTGGTTGGTTGGTTGGTCGGTTGGTTGACAGTGCTCATCTAGTTTAAAGCCAAAATTTTCGGCTTTCCCATTTCTGTCTTTCACTGATTCATTGGTTGATTAACGGCGTGATTGACCGATTGTTTGATTGACTGGCTAATTCATTCATTAACCGATTCGCTGGCGGATCTAACGTAGCAGCGGTTGATGAGGAGGTGTCAAGAGTTTCAGACTGTCCTGTTCGGACCGTTCATGATCTGTCAATCCGTGCTCGTGTGGTAGCCCCGAGGCTACCCAGGCCACCCTGTAGATTTAGCCATCCTCTCTCTCTCTCTCTCTCACACACACACGCACACACATATA